TTTTTTTTTTTTTTCTGAATGGGGGATTGAACTCAGGCCCTTGCACTTGCCAGGCAAGTGCTTATTCTACTGAGCCATCTCCCTGGCCCTTTGTATTCTTGATGATACCCATTCTGACTAGGATGAGATGGAATCTCAATGTAGTTTTGATTTGCATTTCCCTAATGGCTAAAGATGCTGAACATTTTTTCACATACTTATTAGCCATTTGTACTTCTTCTGAAGAGTGCTCAATTCATTTGCCCATTTGATTATTTTTTTCTTTTAATCTATTTGGTACAGGGTCTCACTATGCATCTTGGACTCATAGTGATCCTCTGGTTTTCAGCCTCCTCAGCACTGGGATTACAGGTATGTGCCACCACACATGGTTTCAGTGGCTGGTTCAGTGTGTCCCAGGACAGGGCCAGCATAGCATGTGGTGCCAGGGATCGAACCCTGTTACCTGCGCTTGCCTAAGCAGATGCTTAAGTCTGCTGAGCTACCTCACAGGCCTGATTCTTTTGGTGTTAAGTGTTTTTAGTTCTTTGTACATTTTAAATATTAATTCTATCAGAGAACAGCTGGCAAAGATTTTCTCCCATTCTACAGGTTGTCTCTTTCTTATTAGTTGTTTTCCCTGCTGAGAAGCTTTTTAATTTTATGTAGTCCCATCTATTGATTTTTGCTAATATTTACCTCCTGTGCAACTAGAGTCCTATTCTGGAAGTTTCTGCCTTGGGCTATAGCTTCAGGTGTCTCCCTACTTTTTCTTTTATCAGTTTCAAATGTTTTGTTTTCTTCTGTTTTATAAACATACTCTCACTATGTAGTTCAGGCTGGCCTCAAATTCACAACGATCATGCCACACCAGGATAAAAGCTTCACGTCTTATATTTAGGTCTTTGGTTCATTTTGAATTGATTTTTTTTTTATACAAGACAAGAGAAAGGGGTCTAGTTTTAATCTTCTACATATGATACTCAAATTTCCCCAACATCATTTGTTAAACAGGCTATCTTTACTGTAACAACTGTTTTTGCTCCTTTGTCACGAATTAGATGGCTGTTAGCTGATGAGGTTTATTTTTGACTCCTCTACCTTACTGCATTGGTTTATATGTCTATTTTTGTGCCAGTACTGTGCTACTTTTGTTACTATGGCTTTGTACTATAATTTGAAATCAGGTATTATGATCCCTCCAGCCTTGCTCTTTTTGCTCAGGAACTGCTTTAAGTATTGTAGGTTTTTTGTTTCCATATGAATTTTAGGATTTTTTTTTAGTTCTATGAAGAATGTCACTGGAATTTTGATGGAGATTATACTGTATCTGTAGATTGCTTTTGGCAATATGGTCATCATCACAATATTAATTTTACTGACGCATGAACAAGGTAGGTCTTTCTATCTTCTAATATTTTCTTCAATTTTTTTCTTCAGTGTTTTGTATTTTCATTATAGAGATCTTTTACCTCTTTGGTCCAGTTGACTCCTGGAATTAAAAATGTAATTATTTTCCTCATTTCTTTCTCAATTAGTTCACTAGTGATACACACACACACACACACACACACACACACACACACACACAGTTTTGTTCTAACCAGATGAGGTGGTGCATGCCTATAATCTCAGCACTGAAGAGGATGAATCAGAAGGATGGCCAAATGTCTTAAGACAGCCTGGGTTACATAAAGTAAGCTCAAGGCCAGACTGAACTATATAGTGAGACATTGTCTCCAAAACTAAAAAAAAAAAAAAAAAAAAAAAGCTATTTTTAAAATGTTGTGTATCCTGACACATACATAATAATAAAAAAGTCAGCACAGCATATAACAGGTAATATAATTTTCTACACAAAGCTGGGCATGGTGGCACATGCCTGCAATGCCAGCATTTGGAAAGTTGTGAGGAAGGAGGATCACCAAGAGTTTGAGGCCAGCCTGAATTATAATAGTGAGACCCTGCCTCAAAAGGTTTTCCCACCAAATATACTGTATACCTACATATGGAACATAGAAATTAAGAATACCTCTTGGGCTGGCCAGATAGCTCATTGGATTAAAGTGACTGCTTAGGCGGAGTGCAACAACCTGGATCGATCCCTGGCTCACTATGCTGGCCCTACCCCTGAGGCGAGGGGTGCTGAGATGGAGATTGAGACTGGGTGTGGTGGCACTCACCTATAATCCCAGCACTTTAGAGGCTGAAAACAGGAGAATCACTAGACTCACCAATCTAAGTAGTGAGACCCTGTACACCCTGTACTAAATACATTTTTTTAAAAAAGAATGCGTCTGTCCAACTCTTGTCTATCTCATCACTTTGTCCACAGGTCTCTGATAAATTCTTTGCCTCTCTGAGACTATGTCCTCAGCTACTGTAAAATGAAGGTAGAAGTATCTGTATCACAGTGCTACTATGGAATAATCTGGGAAAAGTACTCAGCATAATGTCTAGTTTATAAATACTATTTTTATAGTTAACATCATCTGATATCACAGTACTCTAAAAATCATACTTGAGAACAAAATATTAAAAATTTCAATAATGCCAGGCATAATGGTGCATGCCTATAATCCCAGCACTCAGGAGGCTCAGGCAGGACGACTGCTGTGAGTTCAAGGCCAACCTGGGTTACTCAGTGAGTCCAAGGCCAGTCTACACTACATAGCAAGTGTCTCAAAGGGGAGCGGGGATGGGCAAGGATATACAGTTCAGGGGCACAGCACTTGTCTGGAAAGCACCAGATCCTGAGTTTGATTCTTGATTAAAAAAAGAAGTTCAATAATGAAAACTACTGTAGACATTAAATCTTAAATATAACTATCTTTTACAGGTTTATGAAGTACAACTTACAAATCATAAAATTTACCTGTAAGCACACAATTGGGTAGCTTATAGCATATTTCAGAAGCATGTTACCATCACCACCATCCAATTTTGGGATGCTCCTCTCATTCCACAAGAAAACCTCACTTGTCGCCCTAGTATAAGGACTCACAATTCCGTATATGGTTAGGTTTTTAAATTTCTTTGTAAAAATATGTAAATGCTTATTTCTACTTTTATATAATTATTTTCCTTCATATTCTGTAAGGATTTAAAGTTAAACATATCAACATCTGATGGAAAATACCTGTTCCATGATATACCAAAATATTTGATATTTCAACAGATAGGGTAAACCAAACTGCATATATTGCAGGTTAACAATTAGCTTCTCTTCTGGAGGGTTAACAACTTAAGTTAGCAGATCAAAATTGGAGAAAAGAGAGGGCTGCATGATTAGCCAACATTTTGGCCCTAGCCTTTCAAGGTCAATGAAGACTCAGGACATAGGAGAACCTGTACTGTAACAACATGTAACTCAGCTGTGCTCCAAATTTTCTGATCAAGAAGATTATGGAGCCACAGAGGAATGGGTTTGATGATCTAAAGTGAGCCTGGGGAGAGTCATATGGAGAGATAAAACATTTTCTCAAGCTTTCACAGAGAGCAAATTGGTCAAGCAATGGCCATGACTCATCCTCATGTCTGACACTGACAAAAGGATGTACAAAGGGCGGTACAGGGCTACAGGATAAATCCTGAGAGTACTTGGCTGACCTTATCAGATACAAAAGTTAAATTTCTTGTTATATAGGTCTTGCTATATCTTGGGCTTAACCATCCAGCAGAAAAGTATAAAAACGAGGTATATAAAGTAAATCCATATTAATACGATGAGCTCTAAAAGGCTCAAGTCAATAATTTCTCTCAAGTCAATAATAT